CAGCAGCCCCCCACACCCATCCCCTCAGATGCCCCTGACACACCTGCACACCCCCCACCCCCGGTCCTCAGCTCCTGGGCCTTGTGAGCAGATGCACGTGGTGCCTCAGCCCCAAGCTTCGATGCTGAGCAGAGGCAGGGCAGAATCCCGGATGTTTGTTGATATTTTTGAAAAACCGCCTGGACGGACATGGGAGGATGCAAAAAGAGAACATGTCTGGGGAAACTCGGGCATGTGGTAACTTTAATAATAAGGCAGGCACACAGTACCTGCTTGTGTTAGCTGGCGCACGCACAGCATTGTAGGCCTTCTGCACATGGAAACACGTGTGCCGAAAACCCATGCGCTGGTATGTCTGTGTGTTCATGCACAGCATAGTAGACACTAGCACACATGCCAGCACACACACAGCACTGTAGGCATTCTGGCATGTGCAAGCAATGTGCACCAGCATATGCAAGCACCTGCACTGGCACATGCATGTGTACATGCACAGCATAGTAGACACTAGCACAGGTGCTGGCACATGCAAACACATGCACTGGTACACACACAGCATAGTAGACATTGGTATACATGCCAGCACATGCAAACGGACTTTGATATGTGCATATCCTGGCACATGCACAGCATAATAAATGTGAGCACATGTGCCGGCATACTCACAGCATAGGAGACACTGGTGCACACACCAGCCCATGCAAACACACACACCAGCACATGTATGTGCTGACACACGCACAGCATAGTAGCCGCTAGCACATGCAAACACACGTGCCTTCATATGCACAGCACACCCACGTGATGGCACATGCACACTATAGCAGATACTCTGGCACATGCAAACAAATGTGCTGGCGCACACACGTACTGGCACATGCACAGTGTATCAGACATGCTGGCATACTCATGCACTGGCACATGCACAACAGACTGCCATATGCTGGTAGGCACTTATGCAACCCATGCATGCACTGGTCATGCATGGTATAGTAGACACTGGTGCATGCACTGGCACGCAGACATGCTTGCACGCACCCACACTGGCACACACCTAGTACAGCAGATATGCCGGAACATGGGCTGGCACATATACAACAGTCATGCACAGACACATGCGTATCATAGCAGACATGCTGGCCCGTGCATGCTCTGATCCATGCATATACTGGGACATGCACAGCACGGTAGACACACAGGCACAACTAATCTCTTCCCTTTCCTTCTGTCAGGCAGCTGGTGAGCCCCCTCACCTCCTTCCTTTTTTCTCATCCTTCCTTTATTTCCTCTACCATAGTCTCCTTCCTCTAGCACTAATAACTAGCCTGAAAGTTGTGGGAGTTTTTGTTCATTAAAAAGAGATATATGTTATTGGCTACACATGTTACAATGGGCGCACACATTTTTAAGATCTTTAGGTGATTCCCCCTATTTATAGTACTGTATTTTTTTTGCATATATCATGCCTCAGAGTATAATATGCACCCTGTTTTTGAAAGCCAAGAAGATCTTGCCTTGTAGTACTGGTAAGTAACTGACTACCAGCAGCTAGGGAGCTGAGCCTGCTCCTGAGCCACATGCCAGATATAGCCCATGGACTGACTCTGTGTGTCAGCCTGATCTGGCACAGGGGACATGTCAGGCCTGGGTCTGGAAATTTGGCCATAGGGGAGGGGTTGTAGTATTAATTGCTCTGACTCCCAGAGCCACTCCTCCCCTGATGCTGGATTTCCAGACCCATGGAGATCCCTATTTCTCCCATAATGCACACCCTAATTTTCATTAGCTGGCTTGGGAGGGTGCGGGGAGAGGTGCATGTTTTATATGAGAAAATACGGTGTTTCCCTAGATTGATGTCTATAAATGGATTTAGAGCTTCAGGAAAGCTGTAACATTATGGGTAAAGGAGCAGTGTAGTGGAGAGCTAAACTGCAGATTGAAAGACCTTTTTTATTTTGAGAAATTAAAGTTGTATTCACTGCTTGTCCACAAACTTTTGTGGACAGCATGGATTTTACTTGCCATGTGTTTACATTTTGTCTTGCTTGTAGTAATGTAACATAAGAAATGCTACTAATGTAATTCTGATACTGCCTTGGATTGGACCTGCACTTGGATTTTGAAACATTATCTTGTGTCTGACCTCTGCTGCATATAAAATGTTGGCTGCAATTGCTTAAAGTCCATGCTGCTTTCTGTACTGCCATGCAGGAGAATTTAATGCTGAGGACCTATTTGTAGCATTTAAATATGACCTTTTTGCCCATGTTCTTTGTCCACCAAATCCTGTAGTATTTGCAGGAAAAGAAGGCAGCTTATGGCAACATGATCTTGTCTAAAACTTAAAAAGGTTTTTCTAAACTTTTAGCTCTCCAAAATGCAGTGGTGCATTGCAAGGACCTCCAGCATTTTAGCCAGGGAAGTTCAAGATGCTGAATTGTTATTTCATTATTTCATTATGTTGCACTGCCCACTCCTCCTGGGGACAGTTGCAGAGAGTGGAAGCTGGAGGAAGGAGAGAGAGCCTGGGTACACTAGAGGCAGCAGTACCTGGACAGGGAGCTTGGTGGTGGCAGCTGGTTAACCTGAGCACTGTATGTGGTTTGTGGGTCCCAAGTTGGACAGCCCTGATCTAGAGGGTAGGCAGTGTGCAAGAATCTTGTTCTCTGAAGCATGCAGATTTTTCCTGTGTGCCACTAGACAAGTTCTGATGCAAAGACATGGTTCACTGTTTGACCTTGTTATGATATGGTGCATCATACATTTTCTCCTCAAAAATGTCCTGTGGTAGAAGCCCTTATACAGTTTTTACTTTTAAACCTTTAAGATAAAATTGACAGTTACAGAGATACGGATACACCCAGTTTTTTACTGTTCATTGTAAAGGTAGGAATCTTTAGTTGACTTTTCTTGAACTACTCTTAGTCGTCTCTAATCTTCAAGGGTTAGGAAATCTACTTGCTCTAGGTGCTCCTATGTCTGTCTAAACAATCTTTCAGTTTTTCTGTTTTACACAGTTAAATTTCCCATTTTCATTTTAATCTGTTTAACCTAACCTGCATTACGTCAACCAGTTCTTTCTTCCCTGCTTCTGAATTTGCCTAACTATCACTTACTGGACCCTAAATTTCTCAACCTACCACCACCACATTGCATCTGTTTTGCAAGAATCCTACCAGCTGCCAAATTCCAAGAACTTTCATAGTAATGAGTCTTTGATCTTGCTTATTCCTGTGTTCAAACATCGCTCCTCCTGCACTGTCAGTTGTGGCACCTCATTCTTTTAAAATTCATCCTCTCAAAAGTCAATTCTTAACTGATGTGCTGGCAGCACACTTCAACAGTCTATATCCTTTTGCACCCATCCCTTCCAGCTTTTTTAAAACTGTTTTCTGTTTCTCTGCTTATTGGATTTAAGATGCTTGATGCATTTGTAGAATCTTTCAGAGGCCTCATTGGGGTGGTAAACTCTTGTGGTAGACGACAAAAGTCTCACTAAAAGTCCAATCAGTTTATCTTTCTCTGGCTGCTGAATGCCTGGCAGATGGTAACAGCTTTAGAGCACAGTCGCTCCATGCAAGATTTAAACTGATGACCTAGCAATTGTAGGTTTTGTAAGCCGTTGTGATTGTACATCTAACATTATTATATGTCATGTTCATGACAGTTACAATTCAGTCTCACTAATAAAACACTTTGAAACTTGTTTTGACTTTATTGGATGAAAACAACAATGACAACTTTAAAAGTGGATTTGAGCATGTCAGATTTTTGTTGAGAATGTGGCAGCATGCAGTGAACTGTACATGGTGCTGAAAGAGGAGAGATTTTCTTGTTTCGAGGTCACCATTGTCAATCTATACTCTAAATTAATCATTTATTAGAAAATGGATCATGCTGTGTATGTATCGCAAGTTTGGGGCATTCACAAGAGGTGATGACTTTATTTAGGGGTTTATTGAAATGAGCCTCTTTAAAATACCTTGAAGTGTGAATAGTATACACAAAAGAGCAACTTCAGATAACACATAGAAGTTTTCTTGAGTTAAGTAGATGAAGCTTAATAAATCACATACCCTAAAATTCAGCAAATTCTACCTCTGTTAAGTCAAGAGCTCTGCAGGAGGGCTGTATAGCCATTCCCCAGAGAGAATTTGGGGCCTGTTAGTAGGGGCACTCTAGCTTATCTTTACTATTAGGCTGCAGACATCACAGTGATGAATGTAATATAAATGCCTACATTAGAAGTACATGCACTGATTCCCAGAGGTTCATTTACCAGTTCTTTCCTGCATTGCATCACAGTCCTATTAATCTACCACGTACATGATCTAGAGTCAGCTCTTATCTATATTTTATATTAAACTGTCTAGGTCTAAGTGTTCTCATGGTTAACCGATTATAGTGTTCTCACATGTTATGTTGCGCTTTCTCTGAACAGACATTTACACAAATTTCTAGAGTCACTTACTTACTTACTTGGGCAGAATGGGAGTGCTGTTGTATTTTGGGATGGCAATATCCTCTTCGTGAAAACTTTCAGTGAGAAAATACTTTGAAATTGTGGCATTTTAATAATATCTATAATTTTTGGCAAATGAACACTACTGCAAAAGAGGAGATCAGAGATGTAGGATGTAATAGCCTGTATGTTATGGTTGAATTCCATTTTAAGCAGGTTCCTCTCCTTTTGTGAAAAGTAACATATTTTGCCTTGAGTCATCAGGGTCTAGATTTTCAATTTCTCATCCAAGACATAAATGGTCTATCTAGTTACACAGTTAAATTCAGTTTTAATTATGGGGAAAGGAAGTACAACCTCCTAAAGTTCAGCCTTACAGATACTAACCAAGTCTCCCTCTCATCCTGTTCAGTTTGTCAGACTGTAATACAGTCTGACCTGGTTAATGGAAAAATGTAACTGATTATTTTATGAAGTTTATCTGAATTGTGGTTTGATTTTTTTTTTCTTCTCCCCCCTCAACCATTCTCTCTCCTAGACTGGTGTAAGGCTTGGAAAGTTGGCTGGCAATACTGGACATTACATCACCACAGTGAGTTCATTAAAATAAAACCTGGAAGGACAGGTTGAGATATGAACTGAAAGAAAAGAGAGCAGTGAGGGGGAGATGAGCAGTTTCAGTAATGAATCTCCCTGTGAGTGGTGGTTTGGGGTCCTCTGTGGAAAGATTACAGCAATGACAACAGTTTTCTGTTTGAAGAAGAGTAAATGGCAGATATATTGAGTGATTTATTTCTTGTTTGTGGGAGCAGGGGAGTTAGAGGAAGTTGAGATGAGAAGACAGGATGAGTAGTAATGCTTATCACTTCGTATTTCCATAAAGGTATGCAAAATATTAATCTATTAATTCTTACAGCATGCCTGTTAACTGTAGTAATACAGCTCCATTTCACAGATGGCAGAAAGAAATAGAATGTGGATGCCCTTGGCATCATGCCCAACCTATTTTTATTAATAAAATTCAATTTATTATCAAAAGAGTGGTAATTACAGTCCCTTGTATGTTTGAAAAAAGGAAATAGCTGAATCCCAATATAGATAGCAATTTATAGTTCATTGTAATAAAATATAGTCTTCAGTGTGTGCAGTGAGTTTTTCCTGTTTAAGGTGGCTTGCTAGAAGATGACCATAGAAGATCTTCCAGAGCCTTCCTTAGAAGGAGATTCTTTGAATCGGAGAAATCCATTTTTGTTCCCTGGCTCAGAATCATCAGTTACTTTTTCAGTTGCTGCAGCACCAATGCCTTCAGACTGTGGTATGTATATTTACTGGAAACAAGAAGCTATTTTGAGAGCAAATGCAGTGGCTGATTTGAGAAGAAAGCAATCTTAAAGGGATATTAGAAACTTAAAAATGTTGCTCCTGTCTGAAAATGTCAGCTGAAATTTCTATATTTGAAATTTAAGGGGCAGAATGCTTTTTTTAGTTTTATTTTTGTTCAGTCAGCTTAACTTTCCTGTATGTTCAGTCATAGTAATCTTCCTGATTTTTGTAGACTTTTTGTGACCCAATCTATAGGTGAATCTTATTTGTGTGGGGGAGAAAATAAACACTGTAAAACCACAAAAAGTGGGTAGGATGTGACTTAAGTAGGCGTGGCATCTAAAATGTGTTTAAATAAATAAAAACAAAAGACTTAAAAGTTGATGGTCCTACATAGGTTCCCATTGTTTAAAAACACAGAGATTTTGGGGAAGAGAATTTCTGTGGAAAGTGTGTGTTTTGAGGGAGATCGATATTCTTTCCCTCAGACAGTGGACTTTTGCTTTTGGAGAAATTGCCTTCCTATGCATCCTTTAAAATTTGTTATGTGACTTGTACCATATTTTCGCGCATATGCCCCGCACATGGGTATAACCTGCACCCGTGTATAACCCGCGGAAAATTACATTTTCGAAAAATAATCCATGTATACCCTGTACCCGTGTATTCCCCGCACCCCCTTGTATTCCCTGCACCCCTGGGCAAGGACTTCAAGCCAAGCGGCGTCTCCCCGCTGGGCCCTGGAGGCGCCGCTGGGTGTCTACTACATGCCCCGGCAGGCGGCGGCCGTGGCGGTGGCACCCCTGGGCGAGAAGGAGATGGAGGGTGAGGTCTGCCTGGGCCCAGTGGGTAGGCGGCGCAGCCCGCCCCAGCCCCCGTGGCGGCGGCAGTGGCGCAGCAGCCCGGCCCTGTCCCCAGCCCCCACGGCGGCAGTGGCGGTGCAGCCTGGGCCCAGCAGCGG